TGGGACGGTGACAAAATTGTAAGAAATTTCCCCAAAACTTGAGGGGAAATTTTATTTCCTAAATGAATCTACAATTACACTGCGTCCTTTACAAAAATGTATTTTGACAATAATGGGGTGACATATGTGACTTTCAACAATTTAATACTATTCTCTATGACTAATGAAAATTAAAAACATATGATACAACTACATGAGTAAAGTAAAACACAGATACTATACTTGTGTACAATATGCCCCCAGACAGGTACCAAATTCTCAAAAAACATCAGTTTGTTCACAAGAAACTGAGAAGAAACTAATGCATGGCTTTGTAAAGCCAGGTAAAACTCAAAAGTAAGATCGCCTAGTGTGATCTGTCCGTGTTGAAACCAGTTAAAGAAGAAGTGCCAATATCACTTTAATATGTTCAGTATGTTCATGGATGGAACACATTCATGGAATCAGTGTTATCATTAGGATTCAGGCATGGATTGATTGGTTATGTTGTGATGATTGTAACACCATTTCCAATGTTGAGACAACGAGCGACCTATTCTCAAAAACCTTATTATTCTCACTAGCATGCAGCTGTCTGCTGGGAGAGAGAGAGAGAGAGAGAGAGAGAGCCTAAATTTAGATAAATCTGAAACCTTAAAATTGTGGTTTAAAATATTTTAAGATTTTTGAAATCAGGGGTTTAGGGAAGAGAAAACTTATTGATTGCATATTAGTACACTTGTTGATTGCATATTAGTACACACAAAGACACGCGACTGTGCACACACATCTTATTTAGTATTCCTCTTAGAAATTATTTCTTAGATCATTATGTATTTGAAATAATCGTGCTATTTATTGATTTTTTTTTTTCTGAAATCCTATGCATTATTCCCTAAAATACCTGCCATAATCCTCTCTGTTAATCAAAAATGCCTCTGAGATATGGGTATTTTGTCCAAAAATATGAAACACTACTAGCCCCTGAAACCCATATCTAGTGATATAGCATTGATAATTTGAAGGCCAATGGGTACAAATGGAAACCCACCTCACATGGAGTCTCCAGACTCTCCACAGTAAGGCAACCTTAATGCATGCAACTGACAAGGCCTGATATTCTACTTTTATGCTGGACTTAGAAAATGCAGCTTGCTTCTTACACCACAAAGATATAAGGCATTACCCCAAAGACCATGGAGGAGCCATGGATGTCATGATATTGAACCCAATCAGCATCTCCATAGGAAAAATAAATCAAGAGAAGTTGGATATGGAAATTACAGCCCCCAACTCTAGGTGCCAAGGATATCTCTCATGAAGAAATGGGCAATCATCTGATCAACACAGCATTTCCACATTAGAAAATGATAATGTCCACCATTTTCTGAAAAGTCAAGGGGGGGGGGGGGGGGGGTGAGGGCAGAGCAATAGGATACTAGGCATAATCATACTGGCTAATAAAACATTCGTGGATGGAATTTCCATTTTCAGTCCGAGGAAAGAACTAATATACCCCAGATTTCACATTGAACTGTGTTTGATGTATTTCAACTGATTTATACCTTCTACTGAAGTAGTATCAAGGGAATCACACAAGGTATAAAAATAAAAAAAATTTAAAAACCTCTTATACAAACTTTCGTTTCACCTTGGGAAAATCCTTTCTTACTACAAACTGTGTGAACAAAACTAGAACATTTTTCAACAGCAACAATGCCCTTATAAATTGAACATTGCTTTTGACAACTCAAATGAAATAAATTACATCAATGTAAAGATAAAAGAAACAATGTGCATGATCTTAAAGTATCTAATGGGAATCCGATTTCCAAGTGATCACCGTGCGAACACCGCAATAGTATAGTTACAACCCTTGACTATCACTCACTCTCGATAGTGCAAGAAGGGTCGGATTTCGATCTAATCTTGGGAAGCAAATAAATCAATCTTTTATGTGTTCAACATAAAAGAGTCCAAAATAGGGTTAATATGGACATGGGACTACCGAGCCAAAATGGGGGAGAAAACGGACTCCAAACAACCTTCAAATGGTGCAGTCTTGGCTCAAGGGTACAAAGTTCCAAACAATTATGGGATCAAAAGGCATGATCGAAGTGCATGGAACAAACTTAATGCTAACTGTTGTGCACCAATTCATTGCATTGCCAGCAGCATGAAAGGCACAACAGTTTGCATTCAATATTTTAGAAAATGCACCAACTAAAAGCAAAAGAACAAAGAAGAATTAAAGACTATCACTCAAAACAGTTCAAGAGAAGATAGGAGCATTTACCTTCCTATTATGATGAATTTCCAACAGCTTTGAAGGTCATAACAGTAGCCTCAAAATAATGGGAATGGAGTGGAAAGGTTTTAATGGACACATTTTCATCATAGGAGAAAGAGGTGCATTAAACAAGAAGAACACCTAACGTAAAATCATGACAAAGAAGAGAAATATTTGAGTGGGGCGTGAAGCTTTGGAGAGGAGAGGTAGGTGACTCAATTTAAAAGTATTCAAGTGTGAATTGAATGAGAGGATGTCCTATTTATAGATATTTCATGTGGGATGTAAATATTAGATTAGATCTCAACCACCCATAGAGTGATCTAAGGGCTGAGAGAGGCTAAAAACCTAGCCTAGTCAATCACCTATGATGGCTATCACATGGATGGTGATGATTGTGTACACCCTTATCACATACCCACATGACACCTCCACACATTTCCAATAATTTCTTAAGTTTCCTTAAACCCTAATTTTCAAAAATAACTTCATTTTAACCATTGATTTTTCAATCAACAAATCACAACCCTTAATAAAATATCTCCATTTCAAATATCCAATGGGGGTGGCATGCCACCCATTTGCTTCAATTAATGTGAAACTTCATTCACACTTAAGCTCAATGTGAGGTCATTATCAAAGGGGGACATGACATCATCTTATGTCATGGTATATCCCCTTCACACTAATTAAATCCCTTCATTCTAAATATCTAAAGGATAATTCAATCATATAATTAGGAGATTAATCAATTTAAAAAAATATAAAATCTTTACACTCCCACATGTGAATTAGTACATGTCACCACACATGTACTTCACACTTGTACCATAAAACCCATTATACATAGCAAAGTTATGTGTTACATCCAAAAAAGGGCTTCCATGCCTAAGGTTAGGGTTTTCATGTCATGCCCATTGGACAATAACGTGGCTGTCCCATGGGATGCACGTGTGGCACACATTGACCATTTTTATACTATACGCCACATGTGCAGATGACTTTAGTTGGAATTTACACAACAAATTTGTCAAAGCATTTTTCCTATGAAATAGAATTTTCAAAAATCATCTAAAATAATGATAAATCATTTTTTTTATCATGTCTTATCAAAACATCAGGGCTAGACCCGGGGGCCCAATCCAATTTCTCAAACTAACCCAACAGACCCCTATGCGTCATAGACTTTAGTCGTGACATGAATGGACCTATCATAGCTAACCGACGGTTGGACGGATTCCAGGGTGTTCAGTGGATTACAGGTGTACCCCAAAGACATGCACTCTTGTGGATGCAAGGATCCTCCATCAGCACACACGTACAATTCTAATAGGCGGATCTTATCTTATCAGAACGGCTTCCCAAAATGAGATCGTCTATGCATACACTGTGAGCAAGCTTCATATGTCAGGGATTTGGGCTTATGTCCTCTTACAACCCAGTTATGCTCACACAGGGCTTATACACAACATATCTTAAACAAACAGGGATCCCTTGATCCCCAAGCCCTGGCTTACACAACATGAGGCGAAACCAATTATACCGACCCTGACTAGAGGAAAAACCCTAAAACCTCTTGGTTCACAATACGCTCCAAAACCTTGCCTCAATCAAAATAGGGGTTATTTTGGCCTATCCGGATCCTAGTACGCAAAGACTCTGGTAGCCATTATGTTCCTGGTCACTCCCGTTATGACTCTGAACAGTGTTGGCATTCCAGATAAGGCCTTGAAAAGCCATATATCCAACATCTGCACCACTCCAACTAATGTGGAAATCGTCTACATAAAGCATGAGATGTTGTGGAATAGAAAGTCAATTTACGGTGATCCATGTATAATTCACACAAATGTCATGAATCATATCTTCATATATTTAAAAAGTCCCCTGGAAAGGGTAATAAAGTCAAGCAAGTGAAAGCCTAACTGTCTATGGTTTCTCTGCTGTTGATTGGCTAAAAAATCTGAATGAAGGAGAATCCATCACAGGCTCTTGTACAGACCTCTATGGAAATCTAACAACTTTGAGATGGCAAAAGAATCACAGGTCGCCAGCTGAGGGAAGAGGCTGCATATGGGGACATGACCTCTACAGCATGCAAGTTAGTTTAGTTGGAAGCTTTACTACAAAATATGTGTAAAAGTGCATTACCTTACAAAGTTGGATTCTAGTAATCAACTGATGATTTATGAAAGAACAGAAGAGAAAAAAATATAAAAAATAAAAAAGAATTTGAAGTTGAATTTCAGTTAGATCTAGAGTACTTTTTACTTTATAATCCACATGCGAAGACGTAAGATCTCGTCACTAGTATTGTCATGGATGACTGGGCTGTATACCAAGATAAAACATATGCAAGTAGGTCATATCCAAAGTGGATGCATCAACTCGATGGTAAGTTTTTAGATAGTATAATGTGGTATGCATATGCTTTATATAAAAGAAAAACCTTTAAGCTAAGCAGCAAGTTGTTTACGTTACTAGCATACCATAAAGTAATGCTTTGAACAAATTCAACACATTTCCACCAGAAAATACATATTTTTATTGTAAAAATATTACTTTGTACCATTTAGCAACTAATGTGAGATAAAATCCAATTTATACAAAAAAATGCATTTGATTTATACTTATCAATGCTTACTAGCAACTACAACATTCATAACTATTTGAAGTCGCACAATAGGCTGGAAATAAGCCTCAAATATTGAATTGTAAGAGAATATAAGGGAGAATGGCAAGAAATGGTATTGAGGGGAACAGAGATAGAAATAGAATGTGGATGGATATTGCTAAAAGCCTTAGTTGAGTGAGTAGTAGTTGACAGACCTCCTAGTAATAGCAACCACTAAAACTATAAACAGGTCCAAAAACTGACATGAAAGGAGAAAATGGAAGCCAAGATTTTTAGTGAAAGCTAAGTACTAGGTTGCCAAAGGGAAACGAGGACGGGGAAGCAAGATGTGAATGGTCATTTGTGTTAGGGATGGAAAGAGAGCATGGCGATTTGCTTTCATTTCCTTGTTGGTCATGTAACAAACTTCTTAATCAGCCTTCTCTAAGTAGCATGTTGTATGTGTCATTCAAAGTTGGTCTTAAGAGTCTCTTCCTCATTAACGAATGTAGTGGAAGATGCAAGATTCATCAATGCAAAGGGGGAGGGTATTGTCTAATAATTGAGAAGAAGAGACCCAAACCCGCTTCATGTTAATGGATTAGAATGAACTCACAACCTTGAACCTCAAGCAATATCCCAAGATACCATTGTCTTTTGAGAAAAGAGATTCATTTGAAAAAAAAATGTCAATAGCCCCACAAATTATATATCTCAACATTATGAAGAACTCACAATCAAATGAAATCATAAAGATTAAAACCTCTAACCTTCGGGAATATAGCCAGGTGTCTAAGGATAGAACATACATTAAGTATGGCCAACTAAATGTTAATGGAAAACTACACACGCATTTACAAAGGAAGCCAGTTTTCGCTTTTGTATAACATTGGATAAGATTGCATTTCATGTTTGGCTGACATTGGATAGATCTCATGCCATTTTTGCCTTACATTGGATACATTGCAGTCATGCAATGCAATACACATTAAAACCTACTCTATGTGTATGTAGACATGTGGTTATGCTCCCCCCATCCCCCCTCCCCAAAAAAAAAGCACGCATGTACTCTCTCTCAGACACACACACACACACAACAAACAAAAATTATGACCAACAGTAACTTTGAAACACATAGGCTTGGAAAATTACCTTATCATTTTCAAACGTAACTATATCTTCTACAAGGAAACTGCAGACTTTCTTGTAAAGCTTCAGACCGAATTTCAATGAAAACTGAAAGGAATTGACATTAAATTTGCTATTTTAAAAAAAGGTAGTCCACAGTTATGTACCTGTTCTTCACTTTCATTTGATGAAAGGTTCAATTTCTCACCCACCACTATAGTCTTTTGAGAAGGTTTTTTCCGCCATAGCCAGGTTTTATGATCCATACTGCCAATTGAAAGTCTTTCCTAAATCGTTGCCTAAAAATAAAGAAAACATCCATGTAATAAGAAAATTTATTTACCGCACAAGTCATATAATCTATGAATTTATTTCAGCCTCCAAAACAACCCTATTCAGAGAATAAAAATATCAGACATGAAATCATCCAAGCTAAACATTGTGTTTGACATCAAAATTTTATTTTATATTACATTAAAAATTTGCTTCTGTTCAATGAACGTGCATTTACTAACCTCAAAAGGTAAATACGTAAACTTTTACACATGAAAAGATTAACAGCTTTCAGATACACGTGTAAAGCAGCACTCCTAGCAAACATCAAAAGCGAAAATACATTAGAGTGCTTTAACTGTTCATCACTGTGATTTTTTTCTTGTTCACACTGCCTCAGGCCCAGATATAAATGCAAACCAAAACTCAAACTTCACATGGCCTGTTAATAACTGCAAGAAAATCAATTTCAAAATACTTTACAAGAGGAAGCAACTCTAGAAGCTACTCCTGTGGTCTACAGAATTTAAAGGCGTCATCACTCCATCTCCATTTTGAAGAGTGAAACACTTTTTTTCTTTTCTTTATTTTCAATTGTATTAATATCATACCTCATGATTTAGCAATGCCTGATGATTTATTAAACACGGCTGAAAATTTTTGAGCTGCATAGAGACTTCTGGTGAATGGGGATTAGTTAGGGTCAAGTTGGGACTTTAGTCATATCTAGGATGTGATATTAGCCATGCAGTGAGATGTTCTCTGACATTTGCAATGGAATAAGAAGTTTCTCCACAGCATTACTATCTTCCTTGTGAACTTAATGCACCTTGGTTTTGGCCCTAAAATCTTTAGCTCGCATATTTAGTGCCATATTTTGCAAATCAAATTTACACCAAATTAATATCGATACTGATACTGGTACCACATGGCTTCCAATTCAAATGGATTCCACAGACACATTTTAAGCCAGATAATAGGAGTTGGTATCTTCATGGCATTAACCTGTTCTTGAATGGTAAAGGTTCTATCCAATCGAAGAATGGAACTTTTCACTGAAGATTCCCCATTTTTTGACCATGAGACCATGTAAACTTCTAAATACAGGTTGAAAGATGCCCACAATCAATGCCATTGAACACTCCATTGATATGGATACTATTTTTTTTCTTCCATTTGGAGTTCCAACTGTAAGAAAGTTGCCAGCAGCTAAACTTTATCTGCAGTATCAGAATGCAATTGCTTGATATCTTCTCATGAAAATATGACACTCTGGGATGGTGATAGAGGTTGCTGTTGGCATGAACCATGGTCCCCATAGAATTTAGTAAAATTTCCATAACAAACATACCAAATAAGTTAATTGGAACACCTAATTGGTACTTGTAGATCTCTGAGCTACGCACAGCTCCCAAGAATCACTTACACTCTTTCTGTTCATAGCTAATCTACAAGTCCATCATGGAGGTTTACCTATCAAATCTCAGCAACAATATATTTTCTAATCAACCAATAATAGCTGGGGTACTTCTTTCTGATAACTATCTAACCAGAAGCACTTGCAATGAACATGTTGATATTTGATGCTATTAAACCGAATCTGTGCCAGAAAGTCTCATGAACATCCTGCAAAAAGTAAAGCAACAGGGAACAGAGAAAGATTACTTGGATCCTGTGGTCATGAAGGAACATGCTTGAGATCCATTTTTTCCAAGTTATGATCGTTGTGTGGATTATGCTCAACTTCATTGCCATCTAGGGAACCAAATAAAGGCTCTCAGAGGAAACAGATGGAAACTAGGAACAAGAACTTCAAATGAGATGAAGCTCATCACCAGCATCATGTTGAACACAGATGGACATTCTGATTTTCACTACGGAGTAATTGAGCATGGGGACCTGGTTTCAAAAATGGCTCATCATTAATAGCACTAAAATATATATTGCCAGTAATGGCTGTGTGTTGCTCTTGAGTAGAAGCAGCTACAGTTCCATAGCATTCTATGTAGCTCGAGAATAGCCAAGGGATTAGTTGGCTCCCAACATTCAAAGATCTGTCTTCAGTCAGCAAAATTGGAGTCCATGGTTGAGATGCATAATCATAACAAAAGTTAGAAAAATGATGCTTTCAGGCATCTATCTGAATCAATGCAAAAAAACTTGGCTAAGGTTTGGGAACCCACCCCTGCCCGAGCAGTGTAACTCGAGTGAGTCCTGGTGAACTCGCCTAAGTCTGCACGAGGCCAGAAAGAGCTAAAAATTGCAAAACAAAATACAAAATTGACTAAAAATTAAAAATAAAATTAGTAAAAATCAAGATAAATTATAAGAAGCATTAAAAGTCTATAAAAGATGGAAGAAAGCACATAGAAAATGGAATAATGGAAAAAAGTGATTTCTAGCTTTAAAAAATTCAAAAAAAAAGGAAAATTGCTTTAAAAATTCAAAAAAAAAAGGAAAATAGAAAAATAGAGTATATAATAAAAGAAATTGACGAATCATATATATATATACACACACACATATATATGTACACCTGGAGCTTGTATACCAAATTTGCCTTGCCATCCTGCCCAAGCCGAGTCAGAGTCAGCAGGGCCGAATCTTCGAACAATGATCTGAATTGAATATAGGGTGCTTGTTCTTGCAGTTGGTCAGTGCATCGTTAGAGGGGTTAATGGAAGGGCATGGGAATCTATTATGATGGATTCAGCTCATCATAACACAGATAGGCATATGATCAACAAGGACAGACAGAGATTCCAGTATCTTGCATGCAACGTGCACAGAAGGAAGCACATTAGAGTCACTATCTTGAGAAACTGGAATACTTGCAACCATAACAAAAGGATTGTGTAGTCCCTCCAAGAAAAGTTCCTCACTGTAACACGGTGTCTAGAGCAACAAAAGGTCAGAAAAAGATGGGTATGTTAGTATTTCTCCTCTTAACCATCAAGTAACCCAAGGAAAATAAGGCAATCGAATTTAAGATATCAATAACCGACTGAAGGGAAAAGGAATACATGTAATTTTTGGGCCAAATGCAAAGAATGAACAACTTCAAGAAAGGTCAGTTAGAAATAGCCCGAGATGGTCCACAAACAATACCATGATTTTGTTAAAAGGCACGTAACAATGGTTCCTTAGGAAATCTTGACAGTTTTGGAGATCTTGGTATTTCTTTAGTTCTGGAGTCTATGTTTGTGGTAATTGTTGTTTCCCAAGGTTAACTAAATATTTGCTAAAAGTTTATGGCATTTGAAATCCAGTCCAAAATTGAGGTTCTTAACAACATTTTTGAGTGATACACCTTGTCTTAGATTTCTAGAAGTTTTTAGATTTTATTCCTTTTACAAGTTAAATTCCAAATATAATTGAAACTAATATTCTAAAAACTTCAACTAACCATGAGAATGGAAACCGGACGACAAATAAGCAAAGCCATCAAAAGGGCTTTCACCTTCTGATGTTCCATGATCCAACAAAAAGTGTCACACACACAGCAAATGTATAACTGAACAAGAACCAAAAGCAACATCAGACAGATTCTCTTGTACTAAATTAGCAGCATGCAGATGAAGACTAAGAAGGAAAAAAACGTGGAAATAGCCATTGTAGAGAAGATGGGCTCCCTGATGAACCATATGCTACATCGTAGATTCCATGGAATAACAAAGATCCCAAATGCCTTCAAGTCTATAGCAATATGGTTCCATGATGCAAGTATACCGATGTGGGCCTTCATAATAAACAACATCACACTGAATCACTACCTCTATTCTGAAACAAGATCAATCCTCGTGTTCACTTTGGGACCTGAATTACCGCAAATGAACCATGACTCAAATCTTTGTTCTGTTAACAATTGATAGTAACCTTGGATTCACAGGAAAGCACCTTTATTTTTATTTCATAGAAGTTGAAACCAGAGCTGAAAAGTCAAGAAGGAAGAATTCTGGAAACCAGCAAGATAAGGCAAGAAACTTAGAAAATTGCGAAACCACTTATGCAGCTAATGAAGAGCAAACCAAAGGGATTCGATTGGTTGATGCAGAAAAGCTCAAAAACGATCTCAATTCACCACAAGAATGCCACTTTGTACAACCATTTTGAAGATAGTTATATAGATCTGTGCAGCTAAAAAAGGACAACTACGAATATGAACTTCAATTCTAGCAATCAAAAAGCAGAACATCAGAATACCGCTAAAATTGACTCATCTTTGAATGCCAGAATGCCTTCCAGAGCACAAAAATGATGTCTCTCACAATAAAAGATCATTTCCTTGATAGACAGACCTTTCTAGTTGACTAAATAAGGAGGCTTTTTCTGGACCATCACAACCCTTCTCAGCTTTAGGTTTCTTCTATGAAGAGTCTCCGGTTTCTCTGAAGAGACTCCTTGTGTCCATAAATCATATGAATGTACTCTTTATAGACAAATTTCAAACGACAATAATAAAAACTAAATCATAGATACCTAAACCATACCTAAATTTGTATAATAAAGTACAGATACTCTATCAACCCTTCCCATAAATACTGATTGCAATATACATTTTCTGTATTAACCTGATACACAATATACACTTTCCTTTCACATCCACAACATCTTACTGGGAAACATTGCAGTTTCTCCTTCCTTGGAGAATTCTAAATAGAAAAATCACAATACGTCAGTGGATTTCACATTCATATCAAATGTTTCCATGAAACACCTGATCCATGGCAACAACCAGTTATACAATCTTTTCCTTCAACCCAACAGTAGCTTCCTCCCATTGCAGAGCAGCTAAACCTTTGGAAATTGTACAATGCATATGCAAAAAATTCAAAAAAAAATCGTTCCAAGAATAACAGAGATACACACAGTAGTCGTTCGCTAGCTCTTTAGCGAATGTACATACAGGGAGGAATGAAGCCTTTGCATGCATAAAGTTTCGAGCAAGTATCCTCAATCCACATAATGAATGAGATAACAACCACGCAATGACAATGCATCTGAAGCTCCATTAAACAAGGACTTTAAGCGAGTACAATGGATTGCAAAGCCAAATAAGAAAAAACAAACAGAACAAAAGTAATCTGAGATCAGAAAGCAGAGGCTCAAGCATCTCTGGTTTCTGAAACTCTCAAATTCATGAAGCAGAAAGATCTTTGAACTCTGAAACTCAAGAGAACCCCGCAATGAAAATGAATTCCCAGAATTCAAGACACTCAGGAGACAAGTCTTCATGCATTAAAGAGAGAACAAAGTGAAATGCAGGAACTGAGAATCCATAAGGGGAATACCCAACTATGTATACCTCTTAAGCCTGCCTCCAATCGAGTGATGAGTGTCACAAGGTGCCTTCTTTAGGTGCTGCATCAATATTCAGTTGCAGAGAGAGGTTTTGTGCATGCCATATCTCCTCCCCTTTCCAACAAAATTTAGGCCACCATTACCACAAGAGAGTGCAGCTTCTTCTCTCTTCCTACATAAACTGAAGTCTTGTGGAGGGTGAGAGACAGAGATTGTGTAACTGTCTCAGTTAGTCAGGTGGTAATACACTTTCACTCGCCGTCTTCCCCTTGTTCACTTATTATATGCGAACTAAAACTAGAGCGGTTGAAGCACGCTCCTGCGGGAGCATTGTGTATATCTACTACTCCTTTGAACAATAGGCATGCTTTCGGATATTCTTTATGGATTTTTTTGACAATTGTTTCATGGACCCGGTTTCTTGCGGCCAAGCTCCCGTATGCTCTTTAATAAATTTATTTTTGAGATGAATTTTACGACTTAATTTTTAAGGACATATAATCTCTAATATGGAGATCATGAATATGAAAAATAAATAAATTTTAAAAACTAGAAATTATAATTCTAGTAAAAAAACATTTGGACCCGTTGGTTTCCATTATTTTTAGATGGAACATCTACTTGCATCCATCTTTAATATGGATGTTTTTCACTTTCTTGACCGCATATGTAGAAATGTGGTCCATACGGCATGAAACAATTTTTCTTGCTTCATATGGGCTGACCAGCATTTCTACAATATCTGGCTTCAAGGTATAAAGCATTCATCTTAAATATGAATGCAAATAGGTGATTTATCTAAAAACAATTGAAACTAGCCATCGAAATGTTTTTTAATAGAATTATTTTTTTTTTTAAAATTTTTTTTTTCATATTCACGATCTCCATGATAGAGATTACATATACTTAAAAATTAAGTCCAAAAATCCATTTCAAAAATAAATTTTTAAGAGACGACTCATTTCTAATTTGACTCTAGAAGACCATGTCCTTTTAGAAAAAAAAAAAGAGCTTCTGTGTTTGTTCGCCAATGATACATAGGGCACAATATATGCTGTTTTCAAGGGCTGAAATCTTCTTCTTTTTTTTTCTTTTTCTTTTTTTTGTCAGAATTATATTATGGCGGTGGAGGTCAATATGATTGATTTGAATTTTTTTATACACTAAAAAAGGTGAGTTTCCAGGTGAGGCTTCATTTTTATTTCCCACTTGAAAACATACTCTACGGGCGTACACCCGAGGGAGCAAATTCCCTAGCCACAGCATATAATATTTGGCATAAAAATATCACCAAAAGCTATCATTCATTGATTGTTGCCATTTTATGAAAGAAGTCAAAAGTAACAACGCCTTTTGGCAAATATCGAAATGTACCCCTTGCCCCCTCTGCCTCTGCCGTGCCCCTCGGATGCCCCTCACCCTCCAAAGGACAAAAATTTCTACGATTACGGGAGTATTCAAAGGATTAATTTGTCATATAACAAAAGAGAAAAGAAGAGTAGTGGTGAAATTTGAGGAAATGTGAGTGGCTTTTTTACAAGTGGTGAGGATCGAGGAGGGTGGGACCCCTGTGAATAAATGGAATGCCTAGTGGCTGGGGAGCACGACGCTTTTCCCACTCTCGACCAGCTGGTGGTCCTCGTCTACTGCACCGCTTCCCTAACTTTCGAGGAGCTCGCATTTAACTCTGTCTAGGGGTGGGTTTTAGGTCGGGTCGACTCGACTTGGTTTTAGGTCCAGGTCTTATTTTTTGGACTACATGAATCAGGTCTCGGTGTAGAGGCAAGGACCACAGTTAGCCAGTCGAGAATGATCAATATATCGGTTCACCATAAAATTAGAAATAAATTATTTTTATTTTAAAAAGTTAGATGAAAAAATCGAGTAAAAAATGCGGATCGGCAAAAATATTATATGCAAAAATATCACAAATATATCGGATTAGGCTCAAAAAATTAGAGTTGATATATTTAAAATAAAATTAAATAGAAATTAAAATAAATTAAGTAGAAATAAAAATAAAATAATAAGTTGCTAATAAATATACGATACGAATTTTCTCATTAAATACTTTAACAACTACCATACATACTTTCTCATTAAATGCTTTAACAAATATCAGACATACTTAATACATAACGTAAAAAAAAAACTCTTTGGATGGTGACCGCCCCTTTATAACCATAGTTAAGTGGGAAGTTGTATACCTTTTTTGGTTAGACGAGCAACAAACGCAGTAAACCAAAAAGAAATACGGAACAAGAAGACCAGCATGACACAAAGTGAGAGAGATGCAAACACAAAATATTCCATAACAAAAGGCAAAGTGAGAAAGAGAGCATGTATAGGCACAGAGAAACAAGATGGACAAATTTTCGGATAAAATGAAGAACACGGTGGACATAAATCCTAATCCAAGATTTCCAATCATAAATTAGGTTTGGGGATTGAGCTCTAATCTTTTTTTTTTTTTTTTTTTTTAAGCTTTTGTTTTAGGGATTACTGATCCAAGATTTCCAGTCATGAATTTTGTTTGGGAATTGAGCTCTAATCTTTTTTTTTTTTTTTAAGCTTTTGTTTTAGGGATTTAAGATGTACAAATTGTGATAATCTGGGTCTTTGAACCCTAATTTGGATGGAGTTTTTGGTGGAATTTTGCCGAGTCAAAATTTGGGGATTTTTATTCAATGGTTTTTATGGTATTTTATTCTAAGTTGATTCAATAGATTTGAGCATAAACCCTAAGATAATAAACCCTAACAATATACTTGAGGATAAAAATTTATTTTTTAGGGAAGTTGTTTTTCTTTGGAAATAATATACTTTTTAGAAAGCATTGAAATAACAATTACATAAAACAGGAAAAAAGTTTTCATCTTTTAGAAAACAAAAAATGAAGGTAAAAAAAACAAAGGTTTTTTGGACCGATTTTTTCATAAAGATCAATAAGGCGGGTTTTAAACATTTATGTGAAAAAAAACATATATTTTTGCCGATCTTTTAAACAAGTCACAGTTTTAAACATTTTTGAAAAAACTCCGTATTTTTTAGAAAATCACGTTTTAAACGCCGACTTGCTAACTATGGTAAGGACCCGACATCATGTTGGGTTGGGTCGAGTCCTGTTCTAGGTTGAACCGACTCAAATATTTTTTATTTTCTATTTCTTCTATTTATTTTATTATAATAACATTGTATATTATATAGTATACTATAATTTCACTATATTTTTTATACATTATAGGATATAATTTTTAGTATAATATACAAAAGAGATTTTTAAGGAGAAGATTTTTTTGTCCTCCCTTCTCGCTATTGAGAGGTAGAGGCATAAATAAGAGAGATGGAGAGAGTTATGAAAAATATGCAATGCTGGACCTGATCGGGTCCTAGTTGGGTGTAGGTCCACTGGACATTGACTCAATCAGGTCTCGGTCTGGGTCTAGCTTGGATCTTATTGCGTGGGTCAAGTTCAAGTCAAAGCCAACCAAACCTAAATATATTAATATAGATCACATATAAATAATACTATTTATGTAGCATAAATTATAATGAAGTTGTTATATATTTTTTATTTATGAATTTGTCATATATTTTTTTATATAAACCTAGACCTGACGCTACTTGACTCAATGGATCAGGTTTGGATCCAATTGACTTGGACCAGACTTGGGTCCAAGCTAGATCCTGATCAAGTCCAGGTGTAACTTAGACCTAGCGGGTGGGGTCAGGTCGGTCGACTCAGACCCATCTCAACCGGACCCATTCCCACCGCTACCCCTTAGCCTTTGGCGGCCCTTCGATTTGCACTACACTTGTAATATTCTTTTGTTTTTTGGGTGATTAGACACGTAATATTCAACTCATGATAATCGCCCTCGTTAACACAACATCAGCTACAAAATCCGCTGTGGTTATATGGATATAAAAGCGGTTGGTGAATGGCTAAAAATGGTCAGATGTTCACTTTGGATTATTTTTTCAACGGTTAAATTAAACTGGCTAAGGCACTAGTCGGTAGGTAGATTTGAGTGATATGACAACACTGTTTTTTACAAGCACAGGAGCCTCAAAACAAAAATCAATTGTTTTTGGATTTATTCTCATAAAAAAAAAAAAGGTGAAATACTCTGTTTAATATTACCGAATAAAAAATATCCAATAGCAAGCCAATCGTTTAATTCAAGAAGAACCATGAGTTATTGCTCGATTTAGTTGGTTATATCTAATTGAATCAATTCATTCGTTTACTAAATTTTAATTTCACGTTCAGCCAACCTTTCATTTCTTCGACATATCGAGTACGATAAAATTGAATACTATATTAGCGTCAACATATCAAAACCTAGCAATTCCTGATGCAGACTGGAAAACAATTGGGAGTAAACCAACTCTAAAGAAAAATCAGTCCCACCTGTCCCGAAGACTCCCTTTTCATATATCCCCCTAGATCCCCCAAATAACCCTCTATCTTAATTTTACCACCAATTTAGACTAATCCTACCAATCCAAAATAAGCGCTAAGTCGATCCCACATAGATATGTGGGAGGAAAGTTCCACCACACCGATCCCAGTTTTGGAACACTGGTGAGTATCCTTGCCTCGTCGGATTCATTTTGTTTCTTTTACATAATTGAGCGCCATGGATACATAATTTATGTTCGTTTCTCCACTGTTCCCTCTTCTCTGTCTAAACAAACCGAAGATGACCTTTTGATCTTCGATGTGACAGATTGGTGCATCTTCCATGTTTAGGGTGCCCATATGTGGGGCCTTTTTAAATGTTTTGTAAGGAATTAAGAAAACATAGGTTTTGATCATGCTAATATAATAAGAATAAAAATGATCGTCTTAACAAAACAACGCATTTTGGCAACCCATCTCATTCTCTTTATCTATCGACCAACAACCAAATCATTATTTATTTATTATTTAATTAACTCTCGTGGCGTACCCAACTCTCACATATGCCCATCCCGCACATACATTTAGTAAAGAAAAAAATTTATATAAAGGTGAGGCTCTAAACAATCAAATTATGGCACACGTCAAACTTTATTAGAGGAGGTTGTTTCATGTCCAAAAATTCTCAAATCGATTATCTCGACCTCAAGATGCATAGACATGAGAACAAATAGAATTCAAATATTAGAAATAGTGCACATTGTAATGCAGTATCTAAACCATCTATTTTTAAGTGTTCATAGATCTGCTTGACATACACTATTTTTGGATCTTTAAATTTTATAATTAGAGATGACGATAAATTTTA